ACTGTTTTTCAAATTTAGCTATTAAATATTTTCATATAATCTGAAGAAGGGTATATAAAGGGCAGTATGAAAATCTTAACTTCACTGGCTTCTGTAGAGCTTAAAGGTCTGCCATCATGAAGGTAAGCTTTAGCAACTTGTCCTTTTTCTGTTAAGTTGCATCTTTTAAAAATTTAAATCATTCTTCTAAAGGAAATTGGTGATGTACATATGTATAAATGAAATTTATTCAAAGTAATACAGTTCGTTAAATCAGTCATTCTATTCAATGTAAAAGTAAAACAGACCACATCTTACATTTGTATTTTTATCTGCACTATATCTACATGAGTATCAAATTCAAAAACTTATTTTTCTGTTCATAAATAAAAATAAATAAAAAGTCAATAATTTTGAATTTTTCTGTCAAATCAGAATCTTTCAGTACTTTTTGTACTTTTAAGTACTCTTTACTCTATTGTCCTACTCAAAGTTTCATTATTTTTTTTTTTAAAAAAATATTATAATGCAAGCCTTAATTTCAGTGCGCTTGGTTCTTAATCTCCACATTCCTCTTTGGAGCCTGTTTCATTCATGCTTCTGAGAAGAAATGTGATGAAGTAAAATTTGGGCACGGGGTATATTACAAGAAACATCAATGCTGGAAGACTGCACCTACCAAGCCACGTTTGGGGGTCGGAAATCGGGATCAATCTTTGTCAGTAAGGTCAGAAACCACTTTATTTTCAACAATCAATCACATTCACAAAATACCTGTAATCTAGCTTTGCCAACGTACGGTGTGGATCAATAATATTCGATATCAAGTAAAGAAATTGGGAGTTGGAATAAAATCAAATTTCTGGATAAGCTGCATTGTATTAATCTTGTCAGTTACTCAGAGAATTCGTTTAGAGATTCTTTATACCAGTAGAGTCCATAATTATGTTTTAAAAAGTATTTTAAACTAGAACAAAAACTCGAATTATACACGTTATTTATGCGAATGAGAATCGAATCTTGTACTTCTCGATCATGAGGCAATTGTCCTACCACTAGGCTAGAGCGACCGGTCTCTTTTTATCATTATACTGGTATTATTGAGACTTCAAGACATTTTTGTCGTTATAATATTAAATTCCACTTCATCTTTACCAGTAATAAATCTTAAATTTTACATTCATAATTTTACCGATATACCCTACCAGAAACCAACATAACACTTGAAGTTAGAATCTGATGTAAGGCGTGAAGTAGCTAGGAGTTTTGAGTAGCTTAAAGTCGTATTTAAGTTAACACTAAATCACCATTCACCACTATGAATCGGTATAATGTTAGATTAGAGATAGTTTACATAAAACTTCAAGGTAAATCAGTTACTTAAAGATGACAATACCAGTCAGCTAGCTTCAAGCCAATGTTAAGGTTGTGTTTACTAACTTTTACACATATCAATTAAGAAAGTACGGAAGTCCGTTGAGGCCAGTTCAGAGAAAGAAATATTTTTTATTGCGTTTAAACGCAAAAGATTGCGATTAATCGCAATAATTATTGCGTTTAAACGCAAAAGATTGCGATTAACCGCAATGTATATTGCGTTTAAACGCAAAACACTTTGCGTTTAAACGCAATCTTTTGCGTTTAAACGCAATACTTTTGCGATTAAAAGCAATACTTTTTGCGTTTAAACACAATATTTTTTGCGTTTAAACGCAATAATTTTTGCGATTAAACGCAATAATTTTTGCGATTAAACGCAATACTTTTGCGATTAAACGCAATACTTTTGCGATTAAACGCAATAATTTTGCGATTAAACGCAATAATCTTTGCGCTTAAACGCACTAATCCTTCCTTATAAGGATTTGTTTTGCATTTAAACACAATGATACTGTAGTTTCAAAATCAAACATGAATTAGTCAAAGCTTATATCTACATGTACTAGGACCCGACACTTCAACTTTAAGAAGATCCGATTTGTTCTGTGTCTTTTTGCAAAATTTTCCAGTTTTTGAAAATTGTAATAAAACAATGGCATCTCAATAACCTGAATGTCTTAAATGTATTAGAACCCAAAACTCTTAATGAAGTCTCTGATCAATTGCTTACGTGTATCACAACTTATAGAGAAAGTTTCAGTGGTATTAATAGCACTTGTCAATTTGATACATGTAGTACACATCGATCAATCTGTTTTCATTTGATTTTGACCTCATATAAATCCATCACATATGTTCTTGTGTTTACTGTATGCAACCATAGGAAGGGTTATGAATGTACATTGAAGTCTAAATACTTCATCATGTTGTACGTAATTCCAACATTTCCTCAGTCCTTTCCAAAAATCCGTTTATACATGATTTAAACTTGTGACTGCAACGTATGGGACAGTTTTTTTAGCAGAACAACTGACCGAAACTTCATTAAAAATGTAGAGAATAAGCCTAAGACATGTCTCGTTCTTAGGATTCCTTTGTTTTTACAACCCGACATTTTTTTTTCTCCTCTATAAATTCTTTTTAGTGATTTACCTTTCAGAGAGTGTTTGCTCGGAGAAATCTGATTCTATAGAGACAACACACAATTTCCTAATAAGTAAAAAGAGAAACAAATAAAAGTTATAAGTATGCGTGGGTCCATTGTTCTCTGCAAGGTTTGATACAAATGACTACCTTTAAACACAAAGATTATTGCCTTTGAACGCAAAGATTATTGCGTTTAAACGCAAAAAGTATTGCGTTTAATCGCAAAAGTATTGCGTTTAAACGCAAAAATTATTGCGTTTAATCGCAAAAGTATTGCGTTTAAAAGCAAAAATTATTGCGATTTAACGCAAAAGTATTGCGTTTAATCGCAAAAGTATTGCGTTTAAACGCAAAAGTATTGCGTTTAAACGCAAAAATTATTGCGTTTAAACGCAAAAATATCATTGCGATTAAACGCAAAAATTATTGCGTTTAATCGCAAAAGTATTGCGTTTAAACGCAAAAGATTGCGCTTAATCGCAATTTTTTGCGATTAAACGCAAAGTGTTTTGCGTTTCAACGCAATATACATTGCGATTAAACGCAATCTTTTGCGTTTAAACGCAATGATTATTGTGATTAAACGCAATGTTTTGCGATTAAACGCAATAATTATTGCGTTTAAACGCAATAAAAAATATTTCTTTTTCTGAATTGGCCTCAACGGGCTTCCGTAAGAAAGGAACAATGATAAAAATTAAAATTTAAAATTCAATATATATCAGGAAAATAAAAATCTTGAAAATCTTGAAAAAAAAATCAAAATTAAAGGTTTTCTGTACTTCTTTAATGGATATCAATTTAGAAAGCAACACCATTTCGATAAAATGGACGGTTAAAAGTTTAAAATTTAATATATTTTAGGAGAAAAATTCTTCGTGCTTTGAAGTGCAGACCAGGAATAAAGAAGTTTCTTGATCAAACTTCGTGCGACTGCGAACCAAGGTATATATGCTATTTATTTTCTATATGCTACAAAAATTATTTAATATGCTTTACAAAAATATGAAACTAAAAAAAAAGAAAAAAAAATTTCAGCAAATTGTCAAGTATCGGACTGAAAAACATCTGCCCACACAAATTCCACTACGTAACCGAGATACACAGACAGAGAAGACGATGCTATGTTGTATTTCCACAACGGCAATGTGTAACATACGCTGACTGTAAATATGAAAAGTAAGTACTAGTAAAAGTATCTATCTTACTGTTCTATTGTTGTTCCTTTTTTGTATAACTACATTTCTATTCAACTAATACGTCACAGGTATTGCTCGAAGAGTAGAGGCGTAAAAAGTGCTTGTTTGCCTGATCGACACCGTTACTTCAATGTCTGGGTATTCTGTCCTAACACCCATCGGTTTGAGCTGGAGACCCTGGAGTTACCTCAGTGCTGTACCTGCAGAGAATACAAACTCTGTAGAAGGCCCGTAGAAAAAGAAACGAAAGTAACAGAGAAGAAACCATAAGCATGGGATTCAATTTTGTAACACTGAAGAAGGTGAAAAGACAGATGGTAGAATTTCTCCGGAGTTTCTACAATGGCAGAACCTTTAATATGTTACACAGTCTCTTATGCAATTATCAATAAAAACATTAACATTTTGTTAGAGAGTTTTTATTTATATTTTTACACTTGTAAAATCCTCAAATTCAAAAGAAGATAGGCGAACATGGCGAGCAAAATGCCTATTGTGTTAAATAAGAAATTGGAAAAGTAAATCTCAATTATGGCATTATTTCATTTAACAGTAACGTAAACTTTATTTAAAATCTCCACTCACAAAGATTGAAATAATTCTATGAAAATAGCATACATACACCAAGACACAAAAATGATATACTCTTCATACTAAAACACTTTTTTCATATGAGTGGGGCCTTCGCTCCATTTTTTGAAAGATTTCATGTATATTCTTGCTATGCGTAAAAATATACATTCTTCGGTTAACAAAAACATCGAGCAAAGACCCACTATATACCTTAAAAGAAATATTTGTAGTCCATGTAATCAAGGATCATACATGTATCATAAATAATACATGAATGCTGACATTTGTTATCAGTGGAATAGTGTATATCAGCTAATAGCTTGTTAATCTCAGAGGGCTAATTGTAATGCAGGATTTTTATTGCTTTGGTAAGAACAAAGAGAATACCACTTTTTTAATCATAGAATGCTTCTGCCGCGTTTTCTAAGGGAGGTTCAAGGGCACTTTTAGTTGCTTTAGTATATACATTTGATACCTCTGCAAATCCAGGGGGGTTCGGACCCCCCCCCCCCCCCCAGATTCGTGCATGCATCCACTTCTCTTCGCAAGCCTTCATGTTTTGATTCTAGAAAACGTATAAATTTAACCTTCCTCATTAGCTGCCATACAGTGGCATCAGTGTTTCACAAACACATCTTGTTTTCCTATTTGTGTCCTTCATATTTTTTTCAAGGCAAAGTTTAACTTTTAAAATGGGGAAAAAAATAAACTGAAATCAGTAAATTGTTCTTTCAGATTTAATTTCACAAATAAAAGTCAACTACCATGCCTCCATTCTGAATTAAGAATTTCAATCACATCTGAATGGTCTGCATAAAACAAAGCATTACATACATCCTGTCTTGTTAAGTCAGGTCTCTTTCTTATTATAGCTAGAAGTACTTGATAGATCTGTTCTCTAATATTAGGATGGTCCACTTCCACTTGATCTATAGTACGCTGTCTCATACCAAGATATCGTACAACATGGTAATATCTTGTAGCTAGATTATTGGCCAGATCATTCAAGTCAGTTATAGAAAATTGAGTCATTGGCTCAATGACTAGGCCAGTATATTTATATTGGTCTACAGAAAAATGATCCATCTCCTCCGCTAAATCTTGCCTGTCCATTGACGAGAAAATCTCTTTTAATTTGGATCTATGATCAATGGAGGGGTTTTTAGATTTCCAGTTGTGTAGAATCCTGAAGTATGTATCAGAGGGATTTCTGAAGGAGTGGGCTGTTTCTGCCATTTGGGATCCATCAAGATAGGTAGAGAAAATCAACATGTCATTAGGGGAAAGCTTTCTTGAAAGGAAGTCAAACAGCATGTCTAGCTCTAAAAAAAATATGAAAAAGTTTTGTAAATTTAAAAAAAAAACTTCAGTAAAATCAATTCTTTCTCATTAAAAGCTTCACTGTACATTGATTAAGAACAGGAAAACATCAAAATGACACTCAAAGAGATAACTAAAATATTTATAATGAACAATTTATTCCCCATGTTGTATACCAATACATGTGTCCTTGAATTTTATTTTTATCTCCATGTTCAGTTAGAAAATGTTGGAATTACAGAAAACAAAATCAAATTTTAGTATGCACATAGACATTTTTCCTCCATATGAGAGAAAATCGGTTCTGTCAGTAATGTTAAAAAAAATAGAATTACTATATTCATCAGTTGTACATCTTGCAGCAGCACAGTTTGCAGACATCTGTCTATGTCCAACAGACCCACCACCCATCTCCGCTTGGATCCTCCTTTCAAAATCCTTAATCCCATGAGAAGTTCTTACATCAATGTTCTGGATAACATCACTCAGAACTTTATAGTTTCCAAGAGTAACAAGTCCTTTGGATTTGAGAGAATCAAAAATCTCGGTGATAGAACTTACAGAAGAGGGTACATGTTGTTTTAAGTATAATTTTATTTTCTGTAAATTATTTGACTCCAGATGAATGTGGTCTTCCAAAAATTTCATTAGCTCTACTTCAATTCTTTCAGCATATTCTCTTTTGACTGGTAAAAAGAAAAGAAAAAAGAAAACATAATGACTTTTGTGAAACACACTATGCCCTGTGGTTGCAATTACATGTATTTGTTATCACAGTGCTAAAATCAACTACATATATTTCAAGTTTATCCATAAATTCCAAATAAAAAATGAAAACACTAAAAGTCTCTTTTGCTGTGAAGCCTTCAAGGCTGAAAAAAGTTTTTTAAAGACACTTTTTTTCACACATTGATAAATTGTAAATTAACATTTTTCTTTTGACATACATACCCTTGGATCCCTGACTGCTTGCCATTTCCAATCCTGCAAGAATGCACTTCTCATACAAATTATGTTAACAAGAGGCTCTTGGGCCACAAAGCTCATCTGATCACCTTGTCTTCATAACTTCACACATAGAGGCTGTTTGGGGAAAAAGAATAGTAGGATAATATTCGACATATTTTTAAACAGAAAAAATACATAGAGGTATATGCTATTTCTTTTAAATTTAACATAAACACATAGGTAATCAAAGATTACGAAGCTCACCTCGACGAATGTTATCTACAAGTAAGGCAAATTTCACATATTTTTTTTCTAGTTAGGGTACATCCCAAGATCAATATCCACGCAAGTTTGATTTAATTATAGACCTGCTCAAAAAACTTTTGACCTGTTAAGTAATCAAGAAAATTTTGGTTAGTTCCAACATCCAAACCAAGTCTGGAAGTTTTCATCCTTAGATGCACCATCTATGCAAGTTTAATCATAACAGGCCATAATATTATATAGCTACTCCAAAAAAATTACCCTGGTCACTCATCTGGAAAATGTACATCAGATTCAGAATCCAAGGCAAGTCTGGAAGTGTCCATCCCTAGATACATCATCCATGCTAATTTGGTTAAAATATGGCTAAAATTCACTCATGTGGAAAATCTAGGTCAGATCCAGCATCCGAAGTAAGTGTGGTAGTGTCCATCCCTGGATGCATCATCCATGCAAGTTTGGTCAGGGTAGGGCTTATAGTTACTTGGGAATGGACCTGCTCCTTAAATTTAACCTGGTCACTCATCTGGAAAATCTAGGTCAGATCCAGCATCCGAAGCAAGTGTGGTAGTGTCCATCCCTAGATGCATCATCCATGCAAGTTTGGTCCAGGTAGGGCTTATAGTTACTTGGGAATGGACCTGCTCCTAAAACTTTAACCTGGTCACTCATCCGGAAAATCTAGGTCAGATCCAGCATCCGAAGTAAGTGTGGGGCCATGTCCATCCCTAGATGCATCATCCATGCAAGTTTGGTCAAAGTAGAGCTTATAGTTTCTTGGGAATGGACCTGCTCCTAAAACTTTAACCTGGTCACTCATCTGGAAAATCTAGGTCAGATCCAGCATCCGAAGCAAGTGTGGTAGTGTCCATCCCTAGATGCATCATCCATGCAAGCTTGGTCAAGGTAGGGCTTATAGTTACTTGGGAATGGACCTGCTCCTAAAACTTTAACCTGGTCACTCATCCGGAAAATCTAGGTCAGATCCAGCATCCGAAGCAAGTGTGGCCATGTCCATCCCTAGATGCATCATCCATGCAAGTTTGGTCCAGGTAGGGCTTATAGTTACTTGGGAATGGACCTGCTCCTAAAATTTAACCTGGTCACTCATCTGGAAAATCTAGGTCAGATCCAGCATCCGAAGCAAGTGTGGTAGTGTCCATCCCTAGATGCATCATCCATGCAAGTTTGGTCCAGGTAGGGCTTATAGTTACTTGGGAATGGACCTGCTCCTAAAACTTTAACCTGGTCACTCATCCGGAAAATCTAGGTCAGATCCAGCATCCGAAGCAAGTGTGGTAGTGTCCATCCCTAGATGCATCATCCATGCAAGTTTGGTCCAGGTAGGGCTTATAGTTACTTGGGAATGGACCTGCTCCTAAAACTTTAACCTGGTCACTCATCTGGAAAATCTAGGTCAGATCCAGCATCCGAAGTAAGTGTGGTAGTGTCCATCTCTAGATGCATCATCTATGCAAGTTTGATCCAGGTAGGGCATATAGTTACTTGGGAATGGACCTGCTCCTAAAACTTTAAACTGGTCACTCATCTGGAAAATCTAGGTCAGATCCAGCATCCGAAGCAAGTTTGGTAGTGTCCATCCCTAGATGCATCATCCATGCAAGTTTGGTCCAGGTAGGGCTTATAGTTACTTGGGAATGGGACTTGCTCCTAAAACTTTAACCTGGGACGCCGACGCTAACGCCGACGCCGGCGTATAGCATAAGCTCATCTCGACTTCGTCGAGGTGAGCTAAAAATGATTTTCTTTATTGACCATGTTTACCTAAGCTATTTTATTGTACTTGGAGCTTATTAAAGTTACATATTATATTTTAACTTGATGAAATATCTACTACAGGTGTAACAATACAGCAATACATCAATCGTATTGATTGCAAGGGCTCATGATATGCGCATTGTATTGCCATGTATGTATCGTGATACAGATAATTTTCATTGCTTTGTTTGAAACTTCTAATACAACCTAACAAATTTTAATGTTTTAAAATGGCTGAAAAAATGCACGTAGCAAAGGAAAAATACAATGTCAAGACTATAAATCCACCTTTTATTAACTTTGGTCACGGGTATCAAGATATTCTTTTTATATTTTCCATAACTGTGGAGGTTAGCAAAGAATAATATGTTATGATAACTGTTAATTCAATTGTGACAGCTGTCTCATGATACATGTTGTATCGCATGACCATATCGTGATATGTATTGTATCGTTAGGTAGCGTGCGATACTCAGGCCTAATATCTACAACTTTTATCCATTCACGTTGCAATGGAGAGTTTCTGATTTAAGAATGGAGATATATTAATTAAATAAAGGTAAAATATCATAATACTTATCAAGATATAATCCCAGTGTATCATCATACATGCATATCACGGTACGCTTTAGCCGTTACATCCCTACAAATCATTTCAGAATCTACTAAAGCAGGTCCAGTACAATCTCTTTATTTAGCTATATAGCTTGAAATAGCTATATAGCTTTATTAAGCTATTCAAAATAGCTTGATTTAGCTATTTATATGCAGTTTTTCACAAAAATTTTTCTTGTATAAAATAGACAAAAAGTCGCATGTATTTGACTATTCATATATGTACTATGGGCTATCAAAACAACAACCAAAATCAAAGATAGTTTTATCTTTGCAGCTTTTGAATACTTTTAAGCAAAAGATAAATTTCTATTGTTTGAGTAACTGTCCACTACCTTGTGTGCGTTGAGGCATGGATAAGTATGATTGCTTCTCATTGTACTGAATTATTACCAATCAATTAATTGGCCTCCTTTATAATTTCATTGAAGAAGTAACTGTATCAATTGTGTTATATAGCCCAAAACTCTTAGAACTTTGAGTACAAAGTCTCTCAAGGAGACACAATTTAATGAGTGATTTTTACAGGCATCAATTTCAGAAGAGTTCAAGGTTGAATATCATCACTGCACCAAGGTGCGACTTTTTGTACCTGCTTAGAAAATTACACATTTAAGAAAAAAGTGTGATAAAATAGCTAAATTAAGCTATTCTGAATAGCTTAATAAAGCTATATAGCTAAATAAAGCTATATAGCTAAATCAAGAGATTGTACTGGACCTGTAAAGTATTCATCATTTATGTGTTTATCAGAGTTACGATTACTGAAACACTGAAATCCTTCATTCTTCTGAACTCGGTGATTGAACAGCTGAAGGGGTATTTCTGTACCCATTGATTACCTAGTTAGAATAATCTAACTGTGTCTCGGGACAAGCCCTCACCACAGTTAGAATACGTCCCACATACTTGCAATGTAGCAAATTGGAGTGGATCCACTCCGAAATGATTTTGAAGAATACAAAAGGAGTTGCACTGAAAATAACTACCAAATTAATCATAACAAACCTTTTTGAGATGGTATATGTCTTTTAACCTAAAAAATAATCCATATAAATACGAAAATTCAACTCGTTTTCTCAACGTTTTTTCCTCGCTTCAAATTTAACGCCATGTTGACATTCGGAACTCTCTGGATTGTTCATAGAAAATGCACAGGTACGAGTTATCGCCCGTGTTTATTTTGCAACATTGCCAATACACGGAACGAATTCTATCGTTAAACCGGGTCCGTAGGACAATATCATAGAACGTTCTATCTATTGATTACCCACTGTTTGTAACATAGACGGTCCTGTGTTACAATACGGTCATAAACTGTTTAACGAGAGAATGTTCAACCTACATGCTGATATGGTCACAAACTTCTTACCTGTATCAGAGGTATAATTAATCGTCTGTTAGGTACAGTATACATAGTATCTAACAAATTACGATGGTGGTTGTTGGTTGGTTCTCGTATCAATCGCATCTTTCAAAACGAAAGTAGAACACGCCGAAGATAACTCAATCTAGAAATGTTTCGTTATATCTAATTTCATTTATTCCACAGTCTCTGTGTTCCATTATCCTATTAGTATATACTCAACACTTGTCATAATTAATTATTATCATTAATTCTTTTATCATATCATGTCTAATTGTATTGTAAAATTGTAATTGTTGTTAAAGACGTTTACATATCTCCCTCGCAGAATAGTCTTTTGCTCCTCTCGGACGTACGTACTTCAATCGTCACTGAAATTTCTAGCTACACACGTGGGTACACAACAGATACGCCAACAATTCCTCATATTCATTTTTTTCTTTAAGGAGGCTGGGGGGGGGGGGGTCAACAAATTAACCACAAATTAACCACCAGATTTAACTTAATTTTTTAGATATGATATCTTATTAATAAGCTGCCAACTATCATTTGGCAAAGAAAAATTTCAAAAATTTTAGTTTTAAAATTTGATCATTTTCTATATCTTCATATGGAGCTCTTCTTCTAAAGGAGATCAATATAGTCTAAAAATGGCCACAACCCCCCAGCCTCTTTAAATGTAATATTTCATTAATTTTATGTGATCTTGTCATTTGTCAGATATTTGTCATTAGAATGTGCTTAAAAACAGTTTGCAATAAATTATTTTCCAAAACTGCACAGAAAATTCAGACAAAAGGAGAATAAATTTTGTGTGAATTATAACTGTCCAGTATAATACAGCAATCATATCTTTATTATGAACTAGACAGTGTGTATGCAGATTTTAAGATAATATGAATTTAGTCATCAAATAACAGTCAATTTCTAAGTTTTATTAAATTCTGTTAACATATTCTTTAATTTCTTCCATCTGTGCTGTAAGGTAAGGCCTTCAATCTTCTGAAATTTTAAAATAAATCAAAATATGTAAAAGATAATAAACCTTTTCAAATACAAACATAGACAGTTATATTAAAGCCATGATCACATGGCGAGGTTAATAAATTTGAATTAAATATTAAGTTACTGGGAATTAAATTGTTCTGAACTACACTCACACAAAGAATTTAATGGGAATAATTTGAATTCAAATTACTAGTGTATATGACTACATGCACATCAAATTGCTTCACATTAACTCCGTGTGAATACCCCACATTAATTTACTGCAAATAAATTAGCTAATGCGCATTTGTTTGAACAGGGCATAAGTACTTTTCTTCATCTCAAATTTTATGATTTCTCCTATATCTTCTTTTGTAAAAATATCTTTACCTCCAAAGTGTCAAATATTGGCTGACATTCTAGATTTTCTGCTAGAGTTGGCCACGGCTGATCTTGTTGAAGAATTAGAATGGCTGCATGCTGAACTGCATTCACTTCCTCCACACTACTACAGTCTAAATATAGAAACATTATATAAGTTAAAATGTTAAAATGCAAACATTATGACAAAAAAAATTTCTCTGCCTTTTTTAAGGATTTCAAACAGGACAGCGATCTAGTTGGAGCGGATCAAAGATCTAATTCTAATAAGATTGAAAGAGGAATAAATATTTTAGAGAATATACTTAAAAACAAAAATAATGATACAGCCATGGGACAATTAGCAGAGAGGGCTAAATGTGCGCTATAAAGGGAGATAACTGATAAAACACTTATTGTTTCCTTTGCATCTTCAGTACTGTAAAATCACATATTTTAGTGAGGTCAACATTTTTGTGGTTTGAAAAAACTATGGGTTCGTGGGGGGTTAAATTTCGTGGATGAAGAATAATTGTTGAGTAGTTATGTATATGACATTTCACATTTCGTGGTGGACATGAATTTGTGGGTCTCCAACAAACGCCAAGATACTGAATGCTTAAATTCTCTACACTTTTAGTAGTTTTTTATCATAGACTTTTTATGACCTATATAATAAAAAAAACATATACCGAAAACAAAAATTAAATCCCCACGAAAATTAGTGATTTCACAGTAATTGCAGCATGACCTATACATAGTTTACTCATATACCCAGCTGATCATGATAACTGTATTTTTTTTATGATTACTGCAGCATTTAGTTCATCTTCCCAAGTCAAGAGTTTTTGATCCACTCTACTCCACATAAACCCTTGACCGACAAGACTGACTTTAAAGGAGTTATAAACTGTCGCACCATCTAGTGAGATTACACATTTTGAACTCTATTGACCTCTACTATTGACCAATCAGAGTAAGCGTATAAAACAGCGAATGTGAGACAATACTGGAAGTTGGTAATAAATTCAGCATTGTAACTTTAACACCAAAGCTGAGACATGCCTTTAACTTGGTTATTTAAAGAGACACCGTGACGGAAAAATGGGAAAACTGAAAAAGTAGAATTTTTGGTTGACACACACTAAAAGTGACTTATTGAGAAGGCATAAATCAACTACAGTGCATAAAGATGAAATGCATGCATTCATAAAAATGTATGATAATGCATATGTATCATTATTACCTTTCAGTGCTTTGAGTATCTTCTTCAAAAACTGACCGAAAACTTGTTCTCCTCCAGAAATAAAATGTCCACATCTGTCCATTACCTCATCAAAAATAAGGGAATTAACAGCTGAATCCTTATCACTCTGAGATACAGCTAATGAGTAGCTCCATAACAAATCTAAGAACTCATTTGTAACTTGTCTGCTGATTGGGTAATTCCAAATCTTCAACTTTGACCCCATTGTGGCAAAGGTTACAATTGGGTAAACTGACTCTTCAACTTTATTCCTTGTTACCTGCAGAATTCAGGGGGAATAATACACTTAACTACAAAAAGTGTATAGAATGATGAATACTTCAATCAGAGTTTACAAGTGCATCTGCATGAACTACTTAATTACCATTGTCTTACTCAGGTAACAACACAAGACTTCCACAACCTGGTCTGAGTTTTCAAACATCAACAGTTGATCAGAGACAGTCTGCAGAAAAGAAAAAAACACACCATTTTGAACTTACAGATACAACAGTTTACTGAGATTCAAAAATGTATGTGAATGGCTGATTTTTTTTTTAAAAATGTCTACTCTTCTTAGAGGCTGAAGTAATTGAAAAAAACCAAGTTCATTAATCTAACAATAGCATTTAGATGGATGGGGAGAAAATGTGAGAATACAGGAAACAATAATATAGGGTTATTGAACTTATACTGGTGAATATTGGCACTCCTTGGCTGTACAAATGCAAAAGCTTGCAAGTGCCAATATTCACCAATATAAGTTCAATAACTCCTTCATGATATAGCTAAAACATCTCCCATTGATTTATATTAATAATTTCAATTAAATAACTCAGTAAGAATTTTTCAGTATCAGTATTTAAATTAACATCTGTCTTGTAAGTGTTCATTATCGCATCATTCCACTTACCCTACCAAGTGTTATGATTTGCTTATTGAGGTTTTATTGAGGCTAATATGTACTAAATTATTCATTAATAATTTCAATTTTGTGTGAAAATAAACACATTTTACCTAGCTGCCGTTACCTATCATAAATTTGCCTTTGAGAGGTAATGCAAACTCAGGATTCAAAAAAACGCCAAGATACTGAATGCTTAAATTCTCTACACTTTTAGTAGTTTTTTATCATAGACTTTTTATTACCTATATAATAAAAAAAACATATACCTTCATGAACACACTGCTCTTCCTATTCTCTTTTGAAAAAAGGATAATTTAGATTCTGGAGATTAATACAACTGTTAATCACATTTTAAACACAATAACTTTTCCATATAACTCATACAAGACCATCTCCTTGCAGAAATTCCATTCTCACATATATACATGTATATGTTTTAAATTATTGATATTATTAAGCATAATATACAACAATAACTAAATCTGAGAATATTTTCTTGTCTATAAAGCCAAATAACTATCTCACAAAGTATTGTGAAATTTTGGTGATTTATAGTACATGTAAGCTCACAAGATGCAGATAAAAAGCTGAGTAATATAAGGTATTATTATTTTTTTAATCTTTTAAAAATGCTTATAATAGCAAGCTTGCTCTCCTAGTTTGAATGTACAAACTGACCAACCAATGAGTATCCTGTTTATAGCTTTCTATAAGTAAATGAATAGTCTAAAAGAAATGATGTCACAGCAACAATAATTGCAGTAATGAATACACACCTCAGTGAGCGAGAGCAATCGTTTGAAGTGATCTCTGTCCAGCTTGGCATGACACAAAGGAAAATTCCCAGGATCTAATGTATAAATAACATATTTATTTCTCATTACTCTGACCTATATAACTTACATTTTTTTAAAAAATATAGATGAAAAATCTAAATGGTTGATTGATGACTGCAATTAATAAGATAAACACAACAAAATATGATATGTAATGTTTAAATTTATCTTGAATGATCTGTTTTTGAATCTGAAGAACTTTTATGTTAAACGCTATTTATATGTATGAAGAAATACATGTAATGTGCTAAAATCAAATGTTAATATTGAAAAATGCAGTTATTAAGGACTTTGATAAAAAGGTGGACAGACACACCTAAAGGGTGCACAGACTGACATAACAAACAGGGAGATGGGCTGACATATCAAACAGAGAGATGGGCTGTCATATCAAACAGAGAGATGGGCTGACATATCAAACAGAGATGGGCTGACATAACAAACAGAGAGATGGGCTGTCATATCAAACAGAGAGATGGGCTGTCATATAAACAAAAAGAGATAGGCAATCATATCAACACAGAAAAAGTCATTACATGTATATCAACAAAGAGATGGGCAGTCATATGACCATAAAAAAGTACAGTAAAATCAAAAGAGATGGGCAGATATATTGAGAGATATGGGCAGCTTCATCAACAAAGAGATGGACAGCCATTTCAATAGAAATGACCAGTCATATCAACAGAGAGATGGGCAGACATACCAACAGAGGAATGGGCAGACATAACAACAGAGAGTTGGGCAGTCATATAAATAAGGAGATAGGCAGATTCATCAACAATGAGATGGGCAATCATATCAATAGGAGGTTGATGCCTAGGTTTTTTAAAGAGGGAAAAAGAGGGGGTGGGTTATGAGATAGACATTATATATATATTGAAGCACATGGTAAATTAAACATAAACTCTTCTGCCAATCAGACAATTATTTCTGAATTTATTTTTTTCATTTTATGGAACCAAAATTAATATGAGACCATATCTTTATCTGACAATCAGAACATTACAGACAGATGTACATGTGGTAGATAAATTTTAGATTTATTATCACGTTGTATTTAAGTCATGTGTATAATGTCCTGATTTATCAAGCTAATTATATGGAAAAAATTAATTACCAAATGCAGACTTCAGAAGAAACTGTATGTAGAATCCTTGTTCTTCTATTGGCAAACTGTATCGATTGTACCTGACAAATAAAATTTTGTTCAATGAACATACATAAAAACTGTCTAATCCAACACCTGTGCAATCCATTTCACTGTGAATTTTTACTTTTCTTTTCTATTTTCTATATTCTTTACATTGTACAATCCAAAACCCTGTCTATTCTGGCATAAAAGTTGTTTAAAAAATGTAAACTTTTAATAAGAATGCATTTACTCCTCATTCTTGTCAAAAATCATAGATCCACAAATTTCCAGATGCTTTATGTCTGGAAATATAATTTATGTCTAAAATTTATTCAACTCAAGATAGCTGATAAAAGGCTGTGCAGGCAATAAGACATACATATACATGTATTTCATAATTTTCTATTTATATTAAATATTTCAGGACTAAAATAATAATTCATACTGTGGACATATTCTTTCCATGTTGGAATAATTTTCACTCTATAAACATCTAAAACTTTCTGCGAAATTTTTTTTACAGTGTACTTAAAGAGAGTTTAGGACAGAAAAAGGCAATCTTAGAAATCTGCCTAATTTTTTCAAATGAAAATTAAACCGAAATTGTAATTTCTTGGAATTAAGATTGGAAAAAAATTATATTTACAGTATTTGATAAGCTGTGTTTCTATACCTCTGTTGCATCACTTGTAGCAGATACTGACAGGTTACTAGTGGTAAGCATACATCTTGCACCAGATCTCTCAGTTTTCCATAACTCTCCTTATTCAGTTGAGGCACACGATAAATAAGTTCTATGAGGCTATGCATGCATTTGTTGTCCATAGATACCAAACTTTCTAAATCCATTTCTGATGAATATAGAAAAGGCTACATGTATGAAATGTAAGATATTTCTGAATACATCTATGTATTTCCTCTTAGACCATGGATAATTTACATTTTCATGATATTATCAGCTCAATGAATACTATGAATGGGATATATAATACACTAAATAAACATACTCCACCCAGATCTAGGTGTTTTTTTTTTAATCCCAAGTAAGATATTATTCTATTTCGATCATATTTCATTTTCATAAAAAAATCACTTATCCTAATTGCCATTCTTCTAGATGTTGTAAGCCTAATGTCCCCTTTTTTGGCTTCTCAAAAATTTTTTGTTAGTGCCTCACCCCCCTCCCAATTGAAATTGCTTCCTACGAGCCTGTGCTATATAGATATTTCTCCTTTAGATGACTATATTTCCATACCTAACACAGACATGACAAATGCAGTCACTCCTTCGTTGTGCTTCTCTGTGGATTTAATAGCCAGGTCACACAGGACCCCCATTATCTGTCCAGACATCACAGGATTCTCAATACAAGACTTAAACAGTGATGGCAGGGAGTCAAGGAAAACCTGTCTGATGCCATCTCTAAGAAATGGAGAAATATATATTAAATCACATTTGATGCATTTGATCATTTTCTACACATAATCACAAAATGATTTTTTTATTGTTTGCTTTGTCCGAGAGATTTTTTTTTCCAATAATCATATACACCAAGAACTATTTTTTTTTTATTTATATATTTTTAATACTTATTTAAAGTTACATAGTGAGTCAATATCATGTGTTTCTTTTAAGATAATTGTGAGTCAATATCGTGTTTCTTTTAAGATAATTGTATCATAAAGCTTAAGATTTATGAGAAATATGGATAAGGGGAAGTTTTGAGATCTCAACTGCTCGGTAAAAGCTAGAAAAGACTGCAAAATGTAAGTGCCAGAAAAAGAAAAGTTATATCTATTGTGTGGTTGTTATCGTCAATGTCAACAATGTCAAGGTCAGGTGTCTTTTATTTTTAGGGTGAAACTTGTAAACAACTTGAATTGGAGCAATGAAAAGTGAGGAATATGTTCTGATCATCTTTTTTTGAAGATTATATCAGAATTCTCGGTCATCCAACATTTATATCTATGGAATTGACACCAGAGTATCTTCTTCAATTTTTCTGCGCATGCATACCTTAAAGAGGAAGAAGTGAAGCAATATTTTCGTGTTGGGGCAAACTAAATTATTTTCACTTTTATTTTTCTCCATAAAAGTAAATTTTTACGTTCTGAAACCAGTAATTTTCTGAAACCTAAAACTTTCAAGAATTGAATAAAATTTGCATTTGTCTTGCAAAAATTCTACTTTCGTCAATTTTCCCATTTTTCCGTCACAGTGTCTCTTTAACACCACTGATTCCTTAACAATATCGTTGAATAATTTATTTTTGAATACCATTACATGTGTAGTTATTTATTTTGTCATTTATTTTTCGAAAAAGAAAATTTATTTTCCCATTCATACAATACAGCTTGTCTAGTTATATTGGTCTTTTATAGGACAGGATTATACAATTAACAAGATGTGTTTGTGAAACACTATGCCCCCGATGGTAACACAATTCTTGAGTGGGACGTAGACTACAGTGCAATAGTTATGGCCAATGTTAAAGTTTTTCAAATGTAGGTCAAAGGACACAGTTGAGGTCACATGATCAAAAATATCTGTACAATGGAAAGGTCTTGTCATAATGAACACTCATGTCAAATATTAAAGCCTTACCCTTGACAGCGCAATAGTTATGGGCTAGGTTAAAGTTGACAACAGACAGACAGACAAACAGACAGACAGGACAAAAACAATATACCCCCGGGATCTTTCGATCCGGGGGCATAAAAATACAACAGACTGACATTTCTGAAACTGTTGTAGCTAGAAAAGTGTTGTGAGACACAAACCTTAAAACAATTCCCTCTTTACTAACAATCCTGGAGAAGAAGTTTAACAACAGTTTTTTCTCTTTGGAGAGATGATGAATATGTGTAAAACGAGACACCAGGAGCCACAGTAATTGTTGGAATTGCTCTGTAAAATTTAGTTATCCATATTAACTTTGCTGATTTTGTTTTCTTGAAAGAAGAACTGACTGCTTTTTTATACTAAAAATTATAATTGATTATTTTTTTTTTTTATCTAATTCACCATCAACAGTTGCAGATATTACAAGCAGCATTGATCATATCAAAGTTGTCTCCCTTTAAATGCATTGAATAATTTATAATTTCATTTTCTTATTTAACATGAAAATCAAAAAGCAAACTTATTGAGTAAACTCTTGAATCTGATAAACATTTAATACCATTATTTTGGTAGTATTCCAGTAGCCTCTCTACAACTTGTAGGATCTGTGGAGTATTTGATGAATCATAGCCCTCCTCTTGCAAGTATGTAAGGAAGTATTGTGTGACTGTGTGAGGCAGGCTGCTTCTGTGTCCTGATGTTTGATTGGTTGCCAGGAAGTAAGACATAATGTCACAGATAGTGATATTCAGAGAGTGCACAGTATGCTGTTTGAAAATAGAAATTAAAAAGAAAAACTTTATATAAATTAGTCTAGTACTCCAAAACTGTACATACATGTGTATACAAACTATTCAAATTTCAAAAATTACCTGTTGTTCATTATCCTGTGGTGTCTTTTTACTTTTTTGGCCACTTGTGTGGGCTGAGTAGGGAAAGAACTTCATGAAATGCTGATGAAAATCTGGCAGGAAATGGGCAACACTGCTTTGCCAGCCCAACTTCAAAATACAAATCAGTAATGTGATTGACTGAGACAATGTCCATGTAGTACTACGCTTAATTAAACTGCTCTCCCAGCCCACCTACAAAGAACTCAGTGTGGATGCCACATACATGTCCATGTATCTATTCCTTTCACTAACAATGGGCTGTGCATAGATTTATTTTTACTAACATTTACTACAACTGTTAAAATCTAAAAGACCTAAAGGAAGTGATGTCAAATCAGTCAATTTTAAATACAGTCAAACCTTGTTATCTCAAACTTGATGGGACTGAGAAAAAACTTGGAGATATCCGAGGGTTCGAGATATCGAGGGTAAAATACTTAAGAAATACATGGTAAGGACTTCCCATTCACTTCGACATATCCATGGTATTCGATATATCTGTGTTCAAGATACCGAAGTTCAACTGTAATAGGATACTTGAATAATTTTCTGATCAAGTACCTGGGTACTCTGTACAAATATCAATACATGAACAAGTATGTTACATGTATATTTGTCACACTTACCCGGATCACTTGTCCAGCGTATTGCCACAGAAGTTTAATAATTTTCACCACATTGTGCCGCAATGAGCAGGCATCCACTGACAATAAGGAACCTATGACACAAAAAATAAAATATCATGTAGAGCAATATCCCCAATGTTATTTTTACCTTAATCAAGAAACAATTTATGAGGAAAATATATTCACACCTCATTTAACAGTGGTCTTTTTTTTTTTCATCTCAAGAAGTGAACAAACTGATCAGTATGAAATCTCTCTTTCAAGTACACAATGTGAACAGCCTCATACATCCTCCAGGGTGGCATGCAAAGGATAAGTAAGCATACAAGGTACTGACAAACTAAACCTTGCCTATATCCTTACATGTTGAGTAACTGCCAATTTCAATGCATGGATTTAAGAAACATGTCATGTAGTTGTTTACCAAACTGTCTATAAAGATGGGTACAATTGTTTCCAGCAGTGAGCCATTAGACTGACCCTTAGATAACTAACACCTCTACAGCCTTGTGTTGTGTATAGCTGTGGCCTCTACCCAACACTCCAGTAATTAAGATGGGTACAATTGTCTCCAGCAGTGAGTCATTAGACTGACCCTTAGATAACTTACCCTCTACAACCTTGTGTTGTGTAGCTGTGGCCTGTACCCAACACTCCAGTAATTAAGATGGGTACAATTGTCTCCAGCAGTGAGCCATTAGACTGACCCTTAGATAACTTACCCTCTACATCCTTGTGTTGAGTAGCTGTGGCCTGCCCAACACTCCAGTAATTAAGATGGGTACAATTGTCTCCAGCAGTGAGCCATTAGACTGACCCTTAGATAACCTACCCTCTACAGCCTTGTGTTGTGTAGCTGTGGCCTCTACCCAACACACCAGTAAGATTGGTACAATTGTCTCCAGCAGTGAGCCATTAGACTGACCCTTAGATAACTTACCCTCTATAGCCTTGTGTTGTGTAGCTGTGGCCTCTACCCAACACTCCAGTAAGATAAGTACAATTGTCTCCAGAAGTGAGCCATTAGACTGACCCTAAGATAACATATCCTCTACAGCCTTGTGTTGTGTATCTGTAGCCTCTACCCAACACTCCAGTAAGATAAGTACAATTGAGTCATTAGACTGACCCTAAGATAACTTACCCTCTACATCCTTGTGTTGAGTAGCTGTGGCCTCTACCCAACACTCCAGTAATTAAGATGGGTACAATTGTCTCCAGCAGTGAGCCATTAGACTGATCCTTAGATAACCTACCCTCTACAGCCTTGTGTTGAGTAGCTGTGGCCTCTACCCAACACTCCAGTAAGATGGGTACAATCGTCTCCAGAAGTTTGAGTACACCATGGGGTTCCCTCAGATTAAAACCTCTCTCTTCCATCTCTACAGAGAGGAGATTCTTCATGGTACTGTAATTAAAAAAAGAATTAATAGAGTTCTACAGATACATTCCAAAGTTGTTTCCCTTATCAACTCCCCATAAACTACAAACATAAACTCATGTCAAACCTGTTTTCAAATGTTTGGTAGTATAAGATTATCAATAAATCTTTATTTTAAAAAATTATTTTACTGTGTCACAAATCAAACAAATTATGCATTTTATTTTCAACAAACCTCATGTTGATAGAGCTGGCTGCTCAATCAGGCTAACAGTTTGCCTGCTAGATGTTGGTGTACTGTATTTTCAAAACGTGACCGACTTAGCCCTACCCTCAACTCTGAAACCTTAAGCCAGGGACCACAAATGTAACAATTTAGATAGAGATTTGCTTCTTACCAAGAGAAGAGAAGAAGATTTTTTTAGGTTTGCCATCATCCCAAAAGAAATATATGTGCTCCTTAATCAGTCCAGTCCATGACAAAAAACTGATATATTATGTTTTCTGTAATATGAGCTGTTATACATGTATTACAATTTTTCATGATATAAAATATATTATGGAAAATTTTTCCAAAGATACAAGTCTTACAAATGCTTTATTATGACAAATTTTGGCTCCAATCTTCTGTTCTTATTGTTTTCAAGGTGCAAGGTTAGAAATAACTCTGAAAACATTGCTTATTTTTCACTTCCATTGACAAAGTGCACACTTTGAAAGTCTGTTTCTCCCAAACAGAATTTTTTGCGAGATTGGCAGTAATTTTCCTCAGAGACCTGTATAATCTAAAGATGACCCAGTGACCTGATACTTGACCCAGTGACCTGATACTGGTCTTATGTCTCCGTCCTCCCTAGTCTTCTTCCGATCATCATGCTTCTTTCATACTGTAACTAGTGCACTGATTGATTATCTAACTGAAAATCTTGTACTGTATAATGCCAATCTAAAGGCTTAGATAAAACACATGCTACCACTTAGGCATCAACTCTACTTCTTAATCATGAATATAGTAATTAAAGTGATAGTATTGGCCTTGCTGTGAACTAGATGCAGATTTGATCAAGCAGTTGGGGGGGGGGGGGGGGGGGGTAACTCTAGATCTTACTTACACTACATATTATGGAAAACTGTAATATAATTACAGTTTTTCATACTGGACTGGACTAATCCATAGATGTTATAGATACTACCATTGGTTGAGGTCTTTCAAAAAAGAAGCTTAAAATCTTTAAAAGTTTATGAATGACATACAATAACAGATTGGAGCCCACAACAAAAGCTCATCTGAGTGATTAAAGTGACCTAAAAATTTTCAGAGCATTTTATGATGGCATTCTTGAAATAAATATTTTTCGAAACATAGTTGTTCTAAGAGCTGAATGTCTACTTTGTAATATTTCATTTCATTTAACAAACCTTGTCTTACATCCCGGAGCTGTCCACACACTCTGAAAATGTCGGGGGCAAGGAGAACATGTGACCTCTTCATCATCCCTCCAAATGACCTTTGAACCCTCCTCTTTCTCATCTACCTCTGGTCCCAAAGTCAAAGGGCCTGTACTCTCTATCAGTGTTGACATTAACCTGCCAAGCCTTGAGAGAACTTGGATCCTCCACTTATGAGCCTGGATTTTCCCATCAGGCTTAACACTGAGAGACCTACTTCCAGCATTAAATTTCTTGGAGGCATTCTGGTGAGAGATCTGTTCAATAAAGTTTGGAATGATTTGACTTGATTGGTCTACAATCAGAGATGGGTAATATTCTAGGAAAATATCAAGAACTTGCAAGGAGTCACTTTGAATATCTTCATAAATGTGAGTCATAGCACAGCACACATGTGCACTGACAATTGGGAAAAATGGTCGTATTTTGTGCAGGTGGACTGACGGCACAATTTGTCTGAAGAGTTTGATCAGTGCTGATCTCACAGCTGGGTCCTTGTCCACCATTAGTTGGGAGATGCGGTCAATGGTTTGAGAGAGCCGATGCTCGAGGAGTTCTGGATGAGAGGACAGAAGTTCTCGTAATCCATTGACAGCATCAAGTCTAACTGTGGTGCTGTAATGTTGACACTGGTTCAGTAAATCCTACAAAATACCATTAATTACTTATTAATATATATATACATATAGGCAATATGATTCCACTGAAGTGATCATGGTGATAAAGTATTTATCTTCAGGTTTGTCAGTCCAAATGTAAGTCTTCCACAAAAATTGAAAACTCCAAACATAGTGATATATTTACAGAATTTGGTACTCAATAATCAAACTACACACCCCTATACTAAGGTTGCGTCTTGTAGTGGGCTGGTTCCCATCTCCCGTCTTGATATGCTGTACCACTTGGACAGACCGGGTTTTGAAACTTGCATTCGTAACATTGTCAGCCTTCTGTAACTTTCTGCCTACTTTCAGTTTCACTTTCTGGAAGTCTTGGTTTTTCTTTTTCTTTGACTTTGGCATTCTTTTATTCTTTTAACTGCTCTTGAAAAAGCAGTGAAGAAATTCAATATTATCAGGGACCTATATACTACTATTATATAGGTCCCTGATATTATATAATATATAAATAATATATACAAACATATTTATTTCAATTTACTTCAAAGTGTAAAAGTGTGATTTTAGCAGTTATGGTTATGTATAGTATTACTATTAGCAATAATATAACAAATAGATAAAAATAAATGCACATGTTGAATAGTCAATAGGTACTCGGGCTAAGGGTGGTGTGTATTTTGTGTTTTCCTTTGTCTATCTAAATATAAACTAATTGACATAAAATCGAAAATCGCTGAAAAAAGCAGTCTTAAAAAATATAATATTTATGTACACACGATACACAAAACACGCAGACTACACCGTCCTAAAACCGAGCACCTTTTGTCGAACATTATACGTTAGTAAGACATAAATATCTGGAAAAGGCAAAGACTACACAATCTTACTAAAAACAATTGTTTATCATTTACTGGCAGTTAAAACCAGCTCTAGGCCTAGAAGTAGGATATGTCCATCAACACGTGCTCGACCAGGAGATAAACATTTCAAGATTTCTAAAAACGAAATTAGAAAGTCTAACTGATTAATGAAGTTTTATGCATCGATTACGTAAATACATATTTTTTTATATTTGAAAAAATAATATAACTATTAAATACAAATTTCTTTCTTTCAATTAACGGGTTTATTTATTTCGTTTTTTGATTTCTAAAATGAAAGTAGGATGTGACGCGTCACAATATTTACATAGGTAGCACGTATACGTGTTCACGTGGGATTTAATTTTTGTTAAATTACGACTGTAGGTATTTTTTAGGCAGTATTGAATCATTATCATCATGATCCTTCTACCAACCATTTTCTAACTGTAGAATTTTTTATTAAAGTATCAATTTACATGTATCAGATTCAGTCTGGAACGTAAATAACATCTCATTGTGTTTTATGTCTCTGGATTATTTTGATTATTTTGATTGTGTAGCTTGACATACTTAACTCATGGTGTTCAAAATAGCTTGCTTAAGCATCATAACTTTTATACTATCATAACCTGTTTAGCTTAAATTGCTTTGAGCAGAGTCCTAAATATTCAAAGTGTCTCTAAATGATGACAGAATAATATTTTTCTCTACTTTACCCAATTTTTTTTCTTCTCCATTTTGGAGCTATTTATATCTAGTTTAATATGGCAATTGTGTTACTTCAAAAATTGATATTCGTTGTGGTCACTCCACATGCTCTAATTAATTCCCAATCAACAAAGATACTTAATTGGTAGATCTAATAAGTCTATTCTAGCTACAAAATTGTACCTGATATATATTTAATCAAAAATGAGGAAGTATGCTTTACTTTGTTCATAAAGAAAATTTATTTCTTCACTAATCAAAGCATTTTATTCTTTTTTAGAGTATAACTGTTTCTGAATAATTAAGAGGTAAGCCACTTTCTATAAAATAGATTTGACTTTCATTGGTTTATTTAGTATTTGTAGAGAGTTAAAGATGTAAAAAAGATAAATGATATCAGAGCTTTTGATGTAAGTTTAGGCCGATGATATATACACGACCGTCGTGTACATAGTAAAGAAAGTCTATTTACACGACCGTCGTGCAAATAGCAATTGCAAATTGCTGAGATATATACACGACCGTCGTGCACATACGTAAGAAGAAAATCTATTTACATGACCGTCGTGCAAATAGCAATCGCACATTTCCCGAGATATATACACGACCGTATACACGACTGTCGTGTGATCGAAACACGTCACACCGCACATACGTCCCTGAAGACCCGACGTTGTTTACACAATCACTGTAGTTATATTTTTTCAACATTTGTAAAATACTGTTATTAGATGAATAACTGAATGTTTGCAATTATGAATGGACATTTTACTTTTATTTTTTTTAAACACATTAAATTAGGAAGAATTAGTAAAAATAAAAACTAATCGATAATTTAAGTGACCCGATCCCGATCAGATTATATTTGAGCTGATAGTGTAGATGAGTCTATCTCTTGTTTTATGTGCACGTTTAGTCGTTTTTGAAAAAAATTAAATGGAATTGACACTTTTTAAAAATAGAAATGCAAGCAATTGATTGTTTCACATACTTAGTCTACTAATTGTTATGTTGATATATTTAATTACTTCAACTTTTTTTTTTTCAATTTGATCTCAAGTTAAATAAAAAGAAAAATAATAAAACATATGAGGAAAAGACACCTGTGTAAGATCTACACTCCAACTTCAGATTTAAAAAAAAAAGCTTTCGTAGGCACTCCCTCCCCTATCTGGATCTTAAAATACACAAGTTCAGAAACAGGTTCAGTAACAAGATCGAAAAGCTCCCCCCCCCCCCCCTTTTTTCAGTTTTTTTTTTTTCTTGAATTGATTTTGAAAATATGCATATTTTTCCCTATGTTTCGGATTGAATGAAATTCATGAAAAACGGAGAGGTCCTTATTTAAAAGCTTGCCATTTCACTTGTAAGCATTATCCATGCAAACGCAGTTTTGAAATCCAGATATTTGACTATGTAAGATACAATCCAAAGCCAAGTAAATTTTTCTTAACTGGGGACATATAGATACCATATTGCATTAGTTTTAGTCTGAATAGACTGGGATACATGAATGTGCCCCCTTTATGGTTCTCTCTCATTTCTTTCAGTCTTTCTATTTCTAATTTCTACCTACTTGAAGACTACTTCATTTACATATTTCTATTTGAAACTGATTAAAATATTATGACCCCACAGCCATTTCTTTTCACACCTCTCTCTCTTTACGATACAGCTTCTTTTGTGGAGAATTGATTGTATATTTTACATATAAAATTGAGACATCAAAATGCACGAGGACGCACGAGGATAGGTATACTACTAGGTATATAAGCTATTCAAGTGTGAAAAAGAATACAACTGAATCGTAATATAATTTCTGTCAGTTTCATAAAAATGTAGTGGAACAGTTTATTAGCCATAACAAAGAAAACAATTCAAAAATAAATAAATAAATAAATAAATAAAGATTAGAAACGAAAAAAATTAGGAAAGGGGAGGGGGGGGGGGGGGTGGGTGGGTGATCACTCAACATCCGCTTTAAACTAGAACTATTAACATATAAATATCATAATTGTTTAATTTGAGATAACATTTGTATAAATATGGTAAACTAGGGTTGTATGACAAAACTTTGGTTAAAAAGTGTATTTAAGAAATCAATACTAGAGTAGGCGAAAATACCTATCAAATGCGCTATGGCTCTCTTTAATTGGTGGAATATGGGTTGAGGTGGATGGGGTAAACCACATGCTCACCAAAATAGTAAGTAAGTTAGTAAATATTTTATTATAATGACATGTGTATACACACAAATACAAAAGTAGTTATGATAGAAACATATCTACATTACACCCCGACCCATTGGACCTATATTTCACTTTAGCATATATAACATATTTTCATTTCCAAAAGAGAGGGCACATGCATTACTATTAGATTTGTACAAATATTTTTGTCTTACTGAAAAGATTAAATTTAAAAATTTTGATTTGTCTTTGATTATTTTTCATTTAAGTGTTTAAATTATATAAAGCGTATTAGTGCCACGTAATATTTTTTTTAAGTTGGAATTTCCAACTTTATTCTTGGCTTTTCCAACTTAAAAGTTGGTTTTTCCAATTTTAAAGTTGGAAGTTCCAACTTTAATCTTAACTTTTCCAACAATAAAGTTGGAAATTCCAACTTATAAGTTGGAAAAAACCAACTTTTTCGGGCTTCATGCATTTTATTCGTATACTTTGTAGTTAATTAGACTCGCCTTGCTGTTTATAATAACAATGAAAGTAAAAAATTTATTTATATAGTTATGATGAAAGAAGGAATAATTTTCTTTGTGATTTCATATACAGAATAATATTACATAAGAAAGAAAACTAAAGAAAAGGATAGAAAAGCTCAAATGAAAGTAGGAAAAGCCAACTTTAAAGTTGGAAAAGCCAAGGTAAAAGTTGGAATTACCAACTTTAAAGTTGGAATTCCAACTTTAAAAAAAATATATCATGTGGCACTAATACGCTTCCGTAATATTACCAATTAGATCTGCATTTCTATTTAAATTAATGTTATAAAAGAAAGTTTTTTCTGATGTTTTCTTACCAACTCATCCCTCCCACACACCCCAAAATGCTTTGAAGGTTAAAGGCACTGCGTGCCGAACCTAACTGGGGACGAAACAACGAATGACATAAGCGATGTTATGTAAATACGATACACGACGGTCGTGCAAATAGTCATTAAAAAATTATATACACGACGGTCGTGCGAATAGCCGATGAAAAATTATATACACGACGGTCGTGCGAATAGCCGATGAAGAAGTAAGTACACGACGGTCGTGCATATAGACACTGCCGTAAATTTTAGATATTTCTTTCATTAGAATATGTAACGGCCAGTCTGTTAGGGGAACTTTTATTTTGATCAGTTGGTAAGCTAACTTTTCTAATGATGTGTTTCCATGTCTGCTTCAATAACTACAGCTAAACTTCGAAATCTCGAACACGGATATCTCGAATACCCCGGATATGTCGAAGTAAGGCCGCAGTCCCGACGAAATTTGCTTTATAAATGATTAAAATAAACCCCTCTATGTCGAACACGGTAATGTCGAATACCCCGGTTATCTCGAAGTAAAATTGTGTACCCATTCATTAAAATCACATGCGTTATCTCGAAGTCAGGATAATTTTCCGCTCTGATGATCAAGTCCGTTAGGTAAACTGAATGCTCTATTGATAACACCCACCTGTCTGTCACGCTCGGGTTACCTGTGTTCCTGTGTTCAACAGATAATAGCGCGATAATTATACGAAGTGTATGTATGGCTTACCTTGATTGTAATTATGCAAGCCAAAGGTTGTGTGTATTAGTCTAATGCATACGCGTGGATGACACGATAATTGTTTTGTGGCTTGGGTACGTTTATCTTGATAATCCGGCGCTATTTAATGCTATGTGACTGAAATATGCGCGCATACATAGTTTATGCATATGAAAGTGAAAATTATAAAAATCGAAGTAAAGCAAAATTCTGTAATTTAAAGCAATTAGAATTTATTTTCCCTATATGAGCGTGCAAAATTTACAATCGTCCGTACACACCATCATGTGAGCATGCGTCACAGTGAAAACTTGTGCTGTAGTGCCCTGTGATTCCGTGTTGATCTGTTGTTAGACAAAAGTGCGTGATTCTTCTTTTGCATTTGATTTTATTATGGTAAAATAATTTTCTTTTAACTGATTTTACATGTATGAACATGATTTTCCAATAAAAGATAATGTATATTTCGTTTTCGTTATTCTGACAGCGACCGGTTTTAAATTTACAATGCATAGACGATATCCGGTTATGTATACATGGGAAACTATGCTAGCGGTTGACTTGCCGCATTGGTAGAAGGATTATACTTCTGTGCATATTATACAAAGCTTTTATTTTGTGAATTATAAAGAGGATGTAAAATTTTTGATTGCTAAATACATGTACATGTATATTAAAGAAATCGTATACAGAATTTCAAACAAGAAGGAATTTGACTTGTTTTTACTATTAAGGACATGTTCACTGCACTAAGTTAATTTGAAGTTCATTTGAATTATAACCCTCGATATGTCGAACCCCCGGATATCTCGAAGTTCATCAACAGTCCCGTCAACTTCGAGATAACGAAGTTTAACTGTACATGTAATGGTTTGGGCCTGGGTAGCTCAGTCAGTAGAGCACCTGACTAGTGATACAGGGGTCCCGGGTTAGATTCTTGGTCCAGCTATACATTTTCTCCTTTCCTGTTACAGATTTGGTGCCATTGACCACCCCTGGACTTGCAGGTGAAAGTCCTGCCAGGGGCAATAAGAACTTTAGTTGTGTCTTCGAGGGCGAAGACGATTTAAGGAGGGAGGAATGTAATGGTTTGGGCCGTGGATATTGGCCTGGGTTGCTTAATCGGTAGAGGACCTGACTAGTGATTCAGGGGTCCCGGGTTTGATTCCCGGTCCAGCCATACATTTTCTCCTTTCCTGTTACAAACACATTCAAGTAAAGTTGCAGTGAGCATGACTAGTGCTTTCACCATAGAACATAATTTCAAATAGTTGGCAGCAAATAACAGATATCTAGATAGAACCTGTGCAAAGAGGCACCATATATCTACAGGTGATCTCTACTAAGATTTAGGAAAAGTTTCTCTGTTTGGGGAAGGGGATGAGTATAGCAGAAACTATTTGGAATATTTTACTACCTGTCTGATAGACTTATAGCTTTCCTGGGAAATCAGTTGTGTTTCCTGCCTATTTTGGATCATACATAAGTTTTCTATGTGCATTGTCAGTGCATTGATTGTCACTGCTGCATATTACAAACTGAAGAATTTTTAATGTGTCTTTTTGTTTGCATTCTTTAAGAAATACAAAGGCCTCTGACTGTACTGTACATTTTTTACCCTTGCATTAATTCATCATGTATGAATCATTTGCAAGAACATTATTACCTTGCACAATTGTTCCTGTGAAAAGATAAATTATACATTGTCCCTAATAATAAAGATTACTTGTATAACTTATTACCCATTTTCTGTCAATATGGGAAAATTGTATCAATAATCAGTGGCGTAGCACCCTTTACGCAACAACGCAGATGAATACACAGATTTTCAACAACAAATGATTTTGAAAGTTCAATTATAGATAAAAGTCAAAAATATATGAAATTTGAAAAGAAGAAGACTCAGGCTTTCCAGATTTATTTTATTCATACAATATAAACTATAAGATTTCGTTATGAACATTTAAAAAAAAAACTCTCTCGTGAAATATATTCCATATCAAACATTGATTTTTCTGTTTATAATTTTTTATTTATTTTTTCTATTCTCTACTAACTCACTGTGACAGTCTCTCTATTAATATTCAAAACAATATTGTGATGAAGGTAAGGTGCATTTGAAATGGGAAAATAAAATGAAATAAAGGGCTCAGTTAATTTGAACAAACAGACAACTTTAATTAAAATTAAACTTTAATGATACATTGTACTTTGAATGTTAAAATATGACAGCTGTGATATTTTTTGTAAATTATATTTTTAAAAGGCAAACTTGTGCTGCCACGTAATACTTTGCATTTCTGATTGTAAAAATAACTCCTGTGATAATATCAGTTTGATTCAACAGATGTTACAGGTATGATCTGCAGTATTTCACTATTGAAAATGAAATGCCCTCATACTAAATAAGATGATGACGTGAATAATAGATGGTTTACAGTATATAGTCTCTTTGTCACAGTCATAGATTAAAAGATATATATATATTTACAGCACGAAATAATGGATTGACCATTTAATTTTAGCCGATGACTGAAGCTCTGTTGCATGAGGTTTGATGGAGGTTCTATCACTCCTAGGATGGATGTGTACATTTTCCTCCATAGCTGTTCAGTTTGTGGGCCTGTAAGTTACAATACTGTGATAAACCTGTGCAAGCTTGTGGACCTCTAAGTTACTTTGCAAACAATTTTTGTTGAGGGATACATGTCCATCTATCCATCTGTCTTTCTAGCTGTCTTTAAATTCATATAGCTCTTCTTTATATCTCAATGTTTTCTTTTGCTTTGTTTCTATTTTTAAAGAAAAGCAACTCAAAGTAATCTATACAGGGTTATTTTAGCCCCGTGTTATTTTTGCCTGTTCACACATTCAAATAATTTTGCCCCATTTTAAATTCACCCAGACACAGAGGTGTTAAAGAGATAAGGTTGTTTACCTTGAATTCACCCCATTCTAAATTTGCTCACATGCAATGAGGGTGAAAGTGGAGAAAATAAAACAGAGGTGAAAAATTAGCATTATACAGTACATATATGTATAATGTTCACAAATTATGAATTGTAATTCTTTTAACAGTGAAATATGTTTCAAAATCTGGAAGAAGGGAACCACTGGAGACATATCCCCTGCCCCTTTTGCAGCCAATCTTATTGCGTAAGTACCTCTAACCTTATTGCGTAAGTACATGTAACCTTATTGTGTAAGTACATGTAACCTTATGGCATAGTACATGTAACCTTATAACATAAGTACATGTAACCTTATTGCATAAGTACATGTAACCTTATTGCATAAGTACATGTAACCTTACTGCATAATTGTAAGTTCATGTAACCTTGTTGCGTAAGTACGTAACCATATTGAATACCGGTACATACATGTTACAATATTCCCCTCCTCCCCCTTTTTCTATGTCCATGGGTTAAAAAAAATAATTAATCTAAATATAAAACATACTGTAAATCACTTTTTATTCAAGAGAACTTTATTTTCACATAATTCCACTCTGTAATATTTCATTCTCATGTATATTTGTTTTTTAATTAAGGTTATAAAAACAGTAATTAAAATTTGTGAAAATTGTGTCGCTTTCGAAAACCAAATAAATATCTTGCGAAAATGAAGTGTCATGAAAAGAGCAAGGGCCACTTAAGGCCTTTTTTGGCCCTGTAAATTTCTGAAAAATTGAAACTGCATAGTTTTAGTTGACAAGGCAATAAATATCACTTGAACACTTGTTGACTGAATTTCTACTAGAAATGACGTAATTTTCTTGCTAGTCAATGCATTATGACGTCATGAATTGCGTCATTATTCAAAAATGGCCAAAATATGATGCTATTTGTCAATATTTTGTATACAGCACAACCTCTGATCCAAAATGTGCGAATATATTATGAAAGAACTGCTCATTAAGATTATAAAACATACTTTAATTTTTGGATTGAGGGGTGTGCTTATATTTTACTTCTTTGTTGAAGGTTCTCAAATTCACCTGTTTTCTGCATATTTCAAGAACATACAATTTCACAAAACCTGTTTTCCAGTACTTAGACTTTTTAGAGGAAACTTTTATATACAAATTGTAAGCGCCAAGTCTCTATTTTATATTGATGTTGATAAAAGGACATAGTGTGTTAGTGGATAAATCGGTTTATCTACAGGGCCATTTTATGCATAAAGTGAACCTAGCTCTTTGATGATCGATCTACAATATTTCATAATCCATTCTTGAACAAAATACTGCATGAAACAATTTGGTCTTTATCTTGAATACACTAAAATCAGAACTTCATCCAAACAGTAGAGATATATAAGGCATACTTGTGTCCATGCATTAACAATCCTATCAAAATGAAGTAAACTTTTGATTTAGTACTTGAATCACAAAACACCAAGTTAAATTGCACATCAGATAAGCAAAAAAATCAAAACAAAAACATTACGGACCAGACTTGATAAGGTTATACATGTAATTTTATTAGTTTTTAAATTTGAGACTGATAACCAATTGTTTAATATCTTTATTTTCAATGTTAAAGGACTTCTTTTAGCAAAAAAAAAAAAAACAAAAAACAATCTGAGTTCATAGTATGAATCAGTTATAAAGGGAAATAATTAAGAAAAATACAGTCAAACTTTGCCATCTCAAATGACATGTGGTTGACTAAAAAACTTTGAGTATAAGAGGGTTCGAAATATTGAGGTTAAAACATGTAAAATACATACACAAAAAGTTGTTGGGACTTCCCTCTCACTTTGACATATCCATGGTATTGGAGATAATCGAGATGTATACAAAAGTTCAACTGTAATTTGAAATCTACAGGTGGTCATTGTAATTATGTAGCATTAAGAGGAATACATTTGTAATTATTGTGTTGTATTGGTTTTATCAGGGCCTGCCTGTGGGTGAAATATGGATTGATGACAACAATACAGTCTGTTATTATTGTAAACAGTATCGGTGCTCTACTGTCCTTGGTTTATGTGATATTCTTCTACGTATACTCCATCAGAAAGGTTTGTGTATGGAATAATCTAGAAACAAAAAAATAAAACTAAATGTGATTTATAGAGTTGCATAGTACACCTTTAGTATGTGCAAAGAAAAGATATGCCATCAATTGTTTGTCTTTGAATTATCACAATATTAGATTTAGTTTCTTTTAATTATGTTTTCTGGGACCAAATATTTGTCAGCCAAGATCACTTCTATTTGTGTGTCTGTATAATTTGTATTCCATCTTAAACACACTGTAAATAAGATATTCTTTAGAAGTGAAAATGTAAAATTATTTTAACTTTATGCATAAAATTATATATAACTCTACTTTCTGGATTTATTTTCAGACTCTGATTGGTCGATTTATGGTATTCAGTTGCTTAGCAATATGTCTGCCCTATGTATACATTGGAATGTATATAGAAGATGTAAAGCTGGCCATAGCCCACCTTGGCAAGATGTGTGTTATCATGACAATTGTCAGCTATGCAGCTCCACTTGCTTCTCTAGTGAGTATTGAGTAACAGGGAAAGTGATGGCTTTATGTATACAGTTAACATGTCTTCTGGGTAGTAGCCATACAATTGGCTGGAATTTAAAGATTAAAATAAGAATTCATGTAAAAAAAAAAAAAAAAAAACTTGTTTGAAAGCTTTCTCTTTAAGTGCATATTCAAATCTCATTGGCTTGAGATTTTTTACGGTACTGTATAGTGATGTGACTTGAAACTTTTGCAGTTCATAATTTCACATGTTTAGCTCACCTGAGCTGAAGGCTCAAGTGAGCTTTTCTGATCACATTTTGTCTGTAGTCCGTCTGTGTAGCTGTCTGTCCGTCTGTAATCTTTTCACATTTTCGACTTCTTCTCCAGAACCACTGGGCCAATTTCAACCAAACTTGCCACAACGTATCCTTAGGTAAAGGGGATTCAAGTTTGTTCAAATGAAGGGCCACGCCTTCTTCCAAGGGGAGATAATTAAGAATTCGTGAAAAATTAATGGCATCATTAAAAAATCTTCTTCTCAAGAACCACTGTGCTTGAAAATATGAAACTTATGTGGAAGCATCCTCAGGTAGTGTAGATTCAAATTTATTCAAATCATGACCCCCAGGGGTCGGGTGGGGCCACAATGGGCGATCAAAGTTTTACATAGGAATATATAGGAAAAATCTTTGAAAATCTTCTACTCAAGAACAGCAAAGCCATGTTTGGTCATATTTATATGGTAGCATCCTCAGATAGTGTAAATTCAAGTTTGTTCAATTCATGACCCCCGGGGGTCGGGTGGGGCCACAATGGGCGATCAAAGTTTTACATAGGAATATATAGGAAAAATCTTTAAAAATCTTCTACTTAAGAACAGCAAAGCCATGATTGGTCATATTTATATGATAGCATCCTCAGATAGTGTAGATTCAAGTTTATTCAAATCATGACCCCCGGGGGTCGGGTGGGGCCACAATGGGCGATCAATGTTTTACATAGGAATATATAGGAAAAATCTTTAAAAATCTTCTACCTAAGAACAACAAAGCCATGATTGGTCATATTTATATGGAAGCATCCTCAGATAGTGTACATTCAAATTTGTTCAATTCATGACCCCCCCCCCCCCCCCCCCCCCCCGAACCACTTTTATATTTAAACTTTTCAACCTTTCAAGACTGAACTGATTTCTGCTTTTTCCTAGCCATAGTGCTCAGGTGAGCGATGTGGCCCCTGGGCCTCTTGTTTATTGATACTTTCTGTTTTGTAGTCTGATATGTTCAGAAACTGAAGTATAGAGGTCATGACCTATATAATTTTAACTTTGTGTTTTGTAGTTTGATTAGATTGAGAATGCTCAGTACAGTGGTCATGACCTATGTAAAAGTGACTTTCTTTTTACAGTTTCAAT